GCATTTCAAGTCCACCAACACTTGGGTTGTTTTAGCGCCAAATCGTGGGTACAAAGCTCCAAGAAAGTGACTGTTGTGCAAAGTCATTTGCATGAGAAAAGCATTACAATATCAAAGTGTTCTCAATTTTGTGGCCTAATGTTTGCAAGAAATAACTGTAAAGGTGTATTTACATGTATTTCATAATAAGAAGTCAGCTTTTAAAAAAAATGCATTTACATGTCGATATACCAATGAATACAGTGTGAAACAAATGTAAACGCAGAAAAAGACATTTGTTATTCAGTAAAATTTTTGTGGGTTACAATTATGTACAATATTAGATAAAATATTATTAGATATTAGATAAAAATGTGCAGCTAGCCCCTGGTTTATTTTCTTCACTCTCGCACTTATACGTTTCAAACGAAGTGATTAATTGGTTGGGTTGTTTTGAGAACTGACAAAAATCAGTACAAGTTTATGGTGGTTGGGATGCTGGACTATTTTTCTACCTCTAGGAATCCTGGAGTCGAATTTATCACAAAGTTAGTACATATTGCTCTCGTTTACCATTAGGGGTACATTTAAACAGCATAAGCATTCTGTAGCCCTTTTGTCTTTCAGGCACAGTCTTCTCTGCTTCCCCTTTATGTTGCCGTTGTGTATGCCATTGTATGGTTTTCCTTCTTACGTTTGTAGACAAAACCTTGTCTTCGAAAAACACCAGTGGAGTACCTTTTAAGGCTGCATTATGGCGTTTTAAACAAGCATTGGCTAAGCATGGAGTTGTGCGTTTCGAACAAAGCAGTTTGTAGACAACAGGACTTTCACCACGCGTACTTCCTTTGTGTCTTTAAACGATTAAATTTTATGTCCTTACTCTTGCAAACGTTGACTATGTTATCTGTAAATGTTGCTTGACACTTGTATGTTCCATTGCAGATTCATTATTGGCCTGAGGCACTACACTAACTCTCCAATATATTATTTAAAATAAGTTTTAAATATAGGATTAGGAAAAAATATTGCGTTTTGCTTACTAGAGTCATCAAAAAACTATTTTCAACTTATAGTTTTTTTGGCTAAAACTAAGTGGTTGTTAGTATAAGACCCCACATTAGTTGTTGTACTTTTAAGTGAAAAAATTACTAATGCAATACCTCACACATTTTACTTGAAAATTCTTTTTTCAGTTTGACGTTTTTTTGTTTGAATTTGTCACGAATTGCGCGTTTTGCCTGGGGGGCGGCTCACATGGGTTTGCATGTGCGCACCTGATTTGTTCGCGGCGGCTCTTGATTGCTTTGTACGTATTTGCTGCTGGTGTTTATAATGCGTGGAATTCCCCCTTTTTTTCCAGACTTTTG